TCAATATTCATAGTCTTTGCCTTTGAAGCTGTCTGTGGCAGCCTCCAGTTGAAAGGGGATGAGGAGCTGGCATTTTGAAACAGGTGCCGTGGGCTGGAAAGTCAGTAAGGGAAAATTGGAGTCATTGTCTTACTGTAACAAGCAGAGTTGTAGCCTATGACTTTGAATTTGCAACAGATCATTTCAGCTTAGTTTTTGGACAAAGAGGAGCTGTAGTCATAATTATAATAGTTTTTAATGATCTCCTTAGAGTGACTGTGTGGGCTGGAACAAAGAATAGAGAATAATTTTCTATGCGTAACATTTCCAAAATGCCATAACTATGTAGGAGAAATGGTTATGTGTTTGTAAAATGCACTGGCTTTCTCAAAATCAGAGAAATCACAGATTTAGAAGCATTCTTAGGAGTCATCTAGTCTAACTCTGATTCTCATCTACCCACCACCAGATATATAAAGCCTAGCAAATAAAATCAGAAGAAATTTGATTAAACAGAATCCTTTGATAATCAGACCTAATATATTTCTCAAAAACTTCATTTTTAATAATCAAGGAATACAAATTGTTATTATTAACTTTTGTGAATGTGAATTATAGATTGAAAAACTTGCTGAGAAAACTGATGTTGTTAAGTAAGTACTTATTGAGTGCTTACACTATGCTAGGTGCTTTACACAAATTATTTGATCCTAGTGAAGGTGATATTACTTAGGCACATAAAAGCATTTAGAGATATTAAGTTATTTGAGATTCTACGGCTATTAAATGGCAGAACCAAAATTCAAAACTGGTTCTGTCTTGATTCTAAAACAGAAACAGAAATATTATACAAAACATCCAGAATGATGGTCCAAATGTGTGGTTCGTCTTTAAGGTTTGCAACCATCAAACAATTTATAAATTAGCTAAATAGACTTTTAGAATCAGACAAATCCAGTGTGAAATTCTATTTCTACCACCTATGGGGCCGAGGTCAAAGATCTGAATCTCTGCTTGCCTCTCTAATCTATAAAATGGGAATAATAGTCTCAAAGAATGTTAAGACTGTATGCAAAGTGCTTAGTAGTACAGTATCTGACAAACACAGCTTAAAAATAAAGAAAGTTGTTTTTTTTTTGCTAATATCATACTAATATAAGAAAGTGCCACATTCATTTTGGTCAGTGAAATTCAACACTAACATATCTTAGATTCAGCTACACCTGTAGCATATTGTGAACATCACGCATGAACATGCATGAGTATACATGTTTATCAAGGTCAAACATAGGTACCATCAACAGCAAGAAAGGGCAGTGAGTAAGTCAATGCATCTGTGTCCCATCGAAACCTCCAGATCAGAAGGTGGGGAGATAGAAATTATGTTGCAGAAATTTCTAATCCCGTCTAATATTCTGAATGCTCAAGAGCTAAATCTGAGATCCCAACAAATAAAATATCTCGACCAAGATCACATCAGGAGTCAGTCCTAGTTCCAGGACAAGAATAAAGCCTTCTATCACGTAGTTCCCAAGGCTGTACCCTCTATTTTCATTTTGCTAACTTAGAATATACACTGGTTTGGCAATTTTCTATTTTTATTGAAGACTCTTTAAAATACTTTGAGCATTCTATCCTAAGAAAATAATCAAAATAGGATGGTACAGGGGGAGAGTAGGAGGGCCATATGTACGACCATATACTCTGGGGCATTTTTTTTCTATAATGTCCCCAAATTGGAAGTAGCCATAAAAACGACTCACTTTGTTCTCTCCTTTACATCTCTGCTCAAGTCTCACCTTTCCTGTGAGCTCCATAGTAACCAACCTATATAAATTAATTCCCTTGCTCCAAATCTCCCAGCCCCTTTCGTTTTATTTTTCCCATGACACCACCGTTTTCTAACATATAACACAATTTACTTAGTTTTTAGTTTATTGATCAGCTCCTCAAAAGGACGTCAATCCAAGAGGGCATGGACTTTTGCTTTTTGTTCCCTGCTATATTCACACTACCCAGAACAACTCCAGGTAACCTAGTAGGGCTCAATGTTTGTTCAATGAATGCATGAATGAATGATCTCCAAGATGAGAAGACTAGGCTAGTGAATCAGGGGATAATATTTTATTCTACTTAAAGTGGTCATAAAATTAGAAAGCAAGTGTAAAAATCTATAGAATATGTTATTAAGTAAATAAAAAACAATATTCATATTCAAATAAATACCTAGAGGGGAACTACATAAAACTATGCAACAGAAAAAGGATTGAAAGGGAATGCAAAAAGGGAGTGGGTTTTATGCTCTTCTTTTTCCATTTTAAAATGGATTTTGTTTCATTTGAGAACAACAGCAAGGTAGAAAGAAAGGAAAGGAAAGGAAAAGAGAGGGGATGAGAAAGAATTATAACCATGAAAGTTCTGTCTCCTTGGCTTGGGATACTGTTGACCTATATGCTCCTTGTCTAAATCCCTGGCATCTTTATCCAAAATGAAGACAAAACATTTCAGCAAAGGAGTATATTAAGGCTCAATTTTCAGCCAGGTGCAGTGGCTCACACCTGTAATCCCAGCACTTTGGGAGGCCAAGGCGGGCAGATCACGAGGTCAGGAGATGGAGACCATCCTGGCTAACACGATGAAACCCCGTCTCTACTAAAAATACAAAAAACTAACCAGGCGTGGTGGCAGGTGCCTGTAGTCCCAGCTACTCGGGAGGCTGAGGCAGGAGAATGGCGTGAACCCAGGAGGCAGAGCTTGCAGTGAGCTGAGATTTCACCACTGCACTCCAACCTGGGTGACAGAGCGAGACTCCGTCTCCAAAAAAAAAAAAAAGTCTCATTTTTCCTCTTATTTCCAGAAACACGTGCTTTGCAGAATTGGCTCAGGCATTGGCAAGTTGCTACAGCTCACCATACTCTTTTGCTCAAATTCCCCATCCATTCCAGTACTTCTAGATCCCCTGACTTCCGTTTTACTACTCTTTTCTACATTCATCTGTCTTGCCACTGTTTTGTTTTCAAGCTCTCCTTTTGTCCTGCATTCATAGCTGTCATCCTCCAACACCCACCTCTGTCCCAGGGTCACCCCTTGTTTTGTCCTCCGTCCCCAGTTTGTGTGTAGGCACCTCCCTGAACAAATAAAGCCGTGGTGCTGAGAGAACTCCAGGCCAGAGAAATCCACAAGAGCACCATCCCCTCTCCTTGCCTTTTTCATGCATCTCGAGCCTCATGCCTGGAACATGTGTTCTCCATTCCCCTTTCTATGATGCCCACTAGGCCACACCCCTCCATCCTTTCTGCAAAGGCAGTGCTAGCACTTTCTTTGCTGCAGCAGTCCTGCACCTTACCTATTCCCTTCTTGCTTACAAAGACAATCACAGGTCTTTACTCCTCACAGTGCAATAGGTTTATTACTCTTCATATTCCCCCAATGCTAAAGAACAGGTGTTCCTATAATCCAAATAATAGCTGCTTACTCTCCAGAATCACATAATTTTAGAATAGAAAGGAGTCTCAAAAGTCATCAGGTGAAATCCCATTACAAATCTATGATCAGTACCGTGCTGGGTGCATGGCAGGTGTTTGGAAAATATTTGCCATCCATAAATATTATATAATCAGCCATTACATACCACTATATAACTATTTTGTGCCATTAACGTTTCTAAATCATTTTTGCTTATCAGTTATTCACATCTGCTTATAAAATCTATGAATAAACTGGAGATCATTATGTTAAGTGACATAAGCCAGGCACGGAAAGACAAACATCACATGTTCTCACTTACTTATGGGATCCAAAAATGAAAAAAATTCAACCCACAGAGAAAGGGAGTAGAAGGGTGGTGACCAGAGGCTGGGGTGGAGGGGAGGTGGGGATGGCTAATGGGTACAAAAAAATAATTAGAATGAATAAGGCCTACTATTTGATAGCACAACAGGGTGACTAGAGTCAATAATAATTTAATTGTACATTTAAAAATTACAAAAAGAGGATGATTGGATGGTTCATAACACAAACAATAAATGTTTGAGGGGATGGATACCCCATTTTCCATGATGTGGTTATTACACATTACATGCATGTATCAAAACATCTCATGTAACCTGTAAATATATACACCTACAATGTACCCACAAAATTTAAAAATAAAACAAAATAGAACCTGTGAATAATCACAGAGAAAGGCTGTGCCTTAGAAGGCATGGGATAAAACTGAAAAGCTAGCTTCAGGCTAACAGGAGCAATGATACAAAATGGAAGATTGGTCACTGAAGTAAGAACAAGAAGGAATGGGCTAAAATCGTGACAAAAGGCTCTCATATAAATAACAACATCTTTTCCTACTAAGAACTCTAAGATCATGTCAGGGCTTGCCAAGGGAAGCTGAAAAATGATGGTTCTTGAGGTTAGCAGCATGTCTGGTAGGATTCAGGGGTGATTACATTAGTTTTTTTGGTAGACTAAAATAGAGTAAATATATTAAATAGTTCCTCCTATTTAATGGAGGAATGGAATGGAAATGGTTAGATTTCCATAGGAAATGGAAAATGATTAGAAAGAGCAATCTCCTTACCTACCTTTAAGTTGCTAGCATTCACACCACCCCAGAGGCACAAGACCTGTCTTCATGGTACTTTTTGCTCAGGCAGCTGATTCTTTTTAATTTTTTTTTTTTTTTTGAGACGAAGTCTCACTCTGTCACCCAACCTAGAGTGCAATGGAGCGATCTGGGCTCACTGCAACCTCCGCCTCCTGGGTTCAAGCTATTCTCATGTCTCAGCCTCCCCGAGTAGCTGGGATTACAGGCACCTGCCACCACGCCCGGCTAACTTTTGTATTTTTAGTAGAGACGGGGTTTCGGGGTTTTGCCATGTTGGTCAGTTTGGCCTCGAACTCCTGACCTCAGGTGATCCACTCGCCTCAGCCTATCAAAGTGCTGGGATTACAGGCGTGCGCCACCGCGCCCAGCCTTTTAATGATAATTTTATATTAATAATTGTCATTTTTCTTTCTTTCAGGCTTGTAAATTTTACAGTTCCCAGTGGCATGTGGTAAACTACAAATATGAACAATACTCTGGAGACATTCGACAGCTACCCCGGTAAGAACCTGTGATGAGCACTTATTGATCTTTTCCAAATACAGATGATGTCCTCTGTTCTAGTCCTGCCATTGTTTGTGAATACACGTACATTAATCTTCTGTCAAGGCACATTTTCCAAAATGTACACATAAGAG